AGGAATCCCTACCAACAGTCTGCTCCTTTAATTCATGGCCATCCCACCACAGATCTCAGTGAATCAAAGTCATTTGGCAAAAGCATATTATCAGTTCCTCACTTCAGAAATGCCCATAGGTGTATTTTTCAAGCAAAACCAGTTCACCTACTCATTAAAGCCTCAGCCTGTGGTGGTTTCTGCAGAGATTAATTTCATTGTTTCTTCCCTGAATTTTTTCCATACTTTTGTTGTAAAGAGACTGGCTTCCCCACAGACAGCCTTATTCGGTAGAGTTCACACCCCATGGCATGGTACATCTGCAGATCTGCCACTGGCCGCCATGGCCAGTATGTGTTCAGCCCATTCATTCTTCCCTCAGATGTTAGGGGCTCCTTTTTCCCTATGTCCCTGCTTGCTTTTCTCCTAGGCTGTGTTCTTCTGGCTGTTCCTAGTCATCTTTCTTGCTCGTGTTCTTGCACGCTGCAGCCTGGTCCTTTGTCAGCCACTTCCTCGCTGTTGCCTGCACCGACTCCTTTTTGCCGTGCAGGGTTTACTCCTCCACCATGCTTGCCCTGTGCAGCCTTTCATACTTCAGCCCTGTAATAGCAACCTTTGAGTCACTGGGTACTGAGTGCTGGCATGTGTCCCTGCTCCCTCAAGGGTACGCTAGCTTTGGTAAGCTTTTAGCGCGTTTTTTTGTAAAAAGCCTGGTTGGATAGGAAAGCAGTACTGCACTTGCTTGCTCAGATGAGTCCACAGTATTCAAGGTTGTCAGAGAAACAGTAAAAGAGAACGAAAAGCTCTTGGGCAATGCTGGAAAGCATATTGCCTGGGACATGTTTAAGAGACATGTGTTTTGGGAGGTGTGAGGAGGAGCTGTAGGTAGTTGACGCCTCTGAATTCTGAGCCATTGCTGTAACTTCTTAAAAGGGCTACTTCCAGTATAACCTCTCATTTCCATCTAAGGTTTTTTGTAGTGTGCTATTATTAAAAGTATGTAAGACTACTATAAAGCAACTTTTCTGTGGTTTGTATTTGTAGAGTTGACAGCCTATGTGCAAATTTCCCATGCTTGAATAAACTTCTTACAGCACAAGAGAGAATATAATATATAGCTTATTGTGGAAATAAAAGTGTTTTCTTTTTAAAAAAAAAAACATTCAGACATCATGTTCAGCACACAGAATCATACCCTGCATGTACTATGACTATGGCTAGCTGGCAAACTGCTGTTCTGCGTAAGTGAGTAAATGTCGAATAACCTTGGCAGAAAGACCTAATGAATTAATTTTTAATCCAGGCATTGTTGCCACATAGTCAGTGTTGCACATCTAGTGATCAACTGGTGGCTTCTGGTTTCTTCTTTTAATCTTTCCAATGAAAGGCTTCAAAGACTGAAAGGGAGGAAATAATCACTTTTTTGCATTCCTTGCTACATATGTATTTAATGGAATGATGAGAAACACAGTACCTGGAGTCTTCCCCTTGATTCTTCTTCTCCCAGATTCTCAATTAAGCTTGTTAAATAGAAAAAAAGAGTTTGAAAATATGTGGTGGAAAAAAGTTATTAAAAGTGGGGTGGGGGAAAAACGATATAAAAACTGGAACCACTAGCTTGTGCATGGCAAAGGGCTGGAGGAAAAGTTAGAAGCAGACAAAGGAGAAGGGGTCTATTTAATTTTCTGATTTAAAAAACCCCAACAGCTATTAATTGAAAGTACTTCATAAATCACTCTGATTCTATATTCCCATTATTACTTTACCATGATGTTTAAAAGTACAGCAATCTTTAAACTTTTTAGAAATGAAAAAACACTAATGTGCCATTTATGGTGTACAGCATAAAACTGTACTCTCCTGACTTTCTGTGGATGCGTACAAGACACTGGAGATCAGTTAAGGAAGTTGTTTCATTTTGTGTCTCTGATTTTTTGTGTGTTGTTTGGTTTGGTTTTGTTTGGGTTTTTCTAGGCACAAACAGATACTTCAGGAAAGTAGCCATGAAAATGGGTTTAAACGTAGTTTTTGTTGACTGCACAAAAATGGAGTGCCTGGAAGCTGCAATTACACCGGAGACCAAGGTAGGGAAGAGGGAAATTGCTGAACTTTGTTGCTCAATGTCGTTAAACAATTTTATTCTTGCTCTTGTTGTATTGTGTATATGTGTCAAGCAGAGAGGACTGCATGGATGGCCTCTGTGGGGACAGGTTGGGGCACAGCTGGCTCCAACACGTCCCCATTGCAGGCCACTTAGTGACGTTTGTGGTGCCTCATTGAAAACGTTTTAAGAAGGGAAAAAAACCATGATGGAGAGAGGGAGGAGGAGGGGAAAAGGTAAGAAACAACAGAGGGAACACCAAGGTTGGAGGAGGAGGAGGTGCTCCATGGCACTGGAGCAGATAATCCCCCGTTCTAGTGGAAGGTAATTCAGCTGGAAAAGGCTTACAAACGTTTGGGCATAAAGACTGTCTTCTAGCTATGTCAGACTTTCTTCAGATGTGATGCACTTCAGTTTTCAGAAGCTTTGATGTTCTTCCCATGTATCAGTTGTTTTTGTGGAGAACATTACCTCACTCAAGAAACCTTGCCTTTCTTCAGTGGGGACACTTTCTTATTTCCACTCTACAAACCTGCACAAGAAGCTGACATTCAGCGAGTCAACTTTTAAAAGCACTTATGACTTACACATGTATCATCACCAGCATTATAAAATCTCTAAACTGATGTTTTGTGTTGTTGAATTACTGCAGCTCGTTTGGATTGAAACGCCCACAAACCCCACACTGAAGGTCATTGACATTCAGGCCTGTGCAGATGTAGTACATAAGCATAAAGATGTTATTCTGGTGGTAGACAACACTTTTATGTCTGCATATTTCCAGGTAAGCCCTTCCTTTGTTTACAATTACCCCATTATTTCAATGTATTCAAAGATACATTTTTAAAATGGAAGCACCACCAAGGAACTGTAGTTTTGATCTATGCATTGTAAAATTACCTGTTCTGTTCCTAAATACAACCCATGTACTGCCGCTGTTTACATTAGTAAAGATGGTGTGCAAAGTATTTTATAGCTAGCCACATACCACTATGCTACCAGCAAAACCAATATAGCTCAGCAGTCAGGTAAACACAGTGAATCAAGACAGTCAGGAAAGCCATTGGGAGAACGGCTTCTCGGTCATTCAAAAATCACGTTTTTTAGTTCTCACTGGTGGAAATCATAACAGGCCTGTTTTCTAACTTGGGCCTTTTTATACCAACTCTTTTGTATATGCTGTTTATGATCTGTTCTGAACCACTTGATATTCTGAAAAAGGTCGTGGAAGAAGAAGTTAAAACAAGCAAACTTTGTTAACTCTTTCTTTGAGACATTCAAGTTACCTTTTCTTCAATATTTTGGTTAATGTGTGGCTTAGACATTTGTAGTTTTGATCTTGAATAACTGGCATAACTCTTCTGCTTTTATAACTAGAATACATGAAGCAAAGACAATTTCTTAAGTTCTAAAAATGCTTTGGAATAATAAACTTTGAAGTCTTGTTCATCTTAACAAGGGCTAGAAATATTCATGTATATTTCCTAGGAGACCAAGTTAATCCCTTGTATTTTAGGTCTAAAGTAGAACTTTTTTATGAGTACAAAAGGCAAGGTGTCTTTGTTTTTGTTAAGGGTGCTGAGATCTTTATAAATTAAGAGAACTTCACAGAAAGTGTTAATGCTTAGCTAAAGCAACACTTGAGTTTGTCTTGTACATACCAAAGGCTTGGTGACCGCCCCCAATGCATATTACTTCAGAAAGACATGAGTGAAAGAAGAAAAGTGAGCATCTGGATATATGAGCTAGTTAATGTATCTTTTATTGGCCTGGTGCTAAAAGTCAGTGAGTTGTAATGATTAATTCTAGGAAGCATAATAGGTAATGTCTTTAAACCCCTCCAGACTGCTGCTGCTGCTACACTGTACTAAGCAGATCATAATTTTAGAGTGATTTATACAGCAATATTGAATGTAAAAGGCACTGGTGTTTATGCTACCATTCTCCTGGCTGTACATTGGGAATGCACATTATCCACATTCCTTGAATAGATGTCCATGTTTAATCTGACAGCAGCAGTCTTTTATTCTAAATCTGCTTTCTTTGTTACCTTTTAACATGTTGATACTCTTCGGTCTTTATAATACGTTTATATTAAGTGCAAAGTCCTTTACTTAGGGACTGATTTAAAAAAAAAAATAGATTGTTCATAACTTCTTGCCTATCAACATCTCAGTTTGCCTCACCTTAAAAAGACTTCTGGGGAGAAAGCTGGGAGGTTAGGGAAGAGACACCTGGCAAACAAGACCCTTCGCACTTTCTTCAGGTTTTCAATTGTTCTTCCAGTACAGTATCACCAATGCTGATATCTAGAAAACAATGCAATTTTTTTTGCTTTGCAGACTATGTTGAGGTCTTCATTTTCTAAGGAAATATACTTTAGAGTAAATACCATTACTTATCCCTGCCTCAGCTAAGTAATATAACTTTTTCTTTTCCCCCATAAATGTGAATGGGCTATATGTTAGATGTATTCAATCACTCCTCTCCCTGAAGCCAGTGGGAATTACACCAGTGCTTTTCAATCACATTTTATTGTGGGTTCTTTGTATTGTGCTTATCTTGCATTCAGAGTGCTTTCCTGTACTATTGTTTTTGTCACATATTCTATCTGTCTTCATTCTCAGGTTTTTATGTCTAAGGTGCTAAGTTTTGTGTGAAGTTTTGGGGGTTTTTTTAGTTTCTCCATCTATTGTTATTTTTTGTGTTCCATAACAGCCTTTCTGGATAGCTTGAAATGAACCAGAGTGCACACAAGCTTTAATTGGACCTATTATTTTCATTTCATTTCAGCGTCCTTTATCTCTGGGGGCTGATATTTGTATGTATTCTGCAACCAAATACATGAACGGTAAGTAGGAGAGTTCAACACAACTCAGGCTGGCTATTTAAAAGCCATTCTGGCTGTGGGCAGTTCACAAAAGCCAATGTGTCTGCCAGTAATTCTTAGATGGACCATTAGAGGAGATGGACCATTGAATAGATGATTAGTCTTCGTAGCTCCTCAACTATCCCTGGGAGAAAGAATATTGACCTGACTTCAAGTAATAGACCTAGAGGTATTTATAGCCATGTTGGCTTTAATTTGACTACAACAAAGCAAGTGGCTTCAGTAGAAGGTAGCTGCCAGAAGTTATATTAAGATTCAAAGGAGGTTTCATACAGCTGTGTTGGAGCCTGTCCAGAAGCACATTCACTGTATTGTTTCCCAAACAGCCCAGACTCGGAGCTAACATGACTGTAGTTGTGTTATAACCACATGTCTGTGGTGGTGCAGATAGAAGGGAAGGTTTTCCAGCTGGTGTTCACTCTCGCTAAGACAGCAGCCTGATGCTGCTCCGCAGGACACACCTGATTCCCGTACAATGTCCTGCTTTCTGGTAGTTAGTGGTGGCGGGCTTGGGAAGTGTCTGGGGGCATGCGTGCAGCACACAGCAGAGCACACTGCTGACCAGAGCTTTAGAAAAAAATGAAATCTGCCTTATCATTCATGTGCGGCACAGGGACGATGGCTGTAGCAATGAGAAGGAACCCAGTGTCTCGCAAAAATGGGACTGTATTAGCACCAAGACTGAGAAAATGGGGATTTGTGGCAGAACCGTGGAGCAGATGGAGTGGCTGATTCTGTTCTTGTCGTCTTGAATTTTTAGGGCATAGTGATGTTGTAATGGGACTTGTTTCAGTAAACTGTGATGATCTCTACGAAAGGCTCAAATTCTTACAAAACTGTAAGTATTCAACGTAGGAAATGCCTTAAAATGAATTGTATTCAAATATACCAGCTCATAATGGGAGGCATGTTGGATGCACACAAGTATGAAATCTATCTAGAGATGCAGCTCAGGCATTTAAATGTGCAGAAGTGTAAATGACCACAGAGAAAGCGGTAACACAGATGTAGGAACCTGAATTCTCTTCCCTGCCTTTCACTGGTACATAGGGTGGCCTTATGCAAACACAATAGCTTTCAGTATGCTTCTGTGGCTTCTCTCTCAAATAAAGTTAAAGACACTGGTCTCCACTTCCTAACTACTTCTAGGAAAATGCTGAGAGCAGTGTGGGTTGTTCAACATTTGTTCACCAGGGGCTGGTGAGTGGGTTGAATTGTCTGGTGGCAGGTGTTTGAATGCAGGCAGCACTCCGTACTGCAGGGCTGTAATTCCCCTCTATGCCTGCTTTCCCTGAGAAGCATGTGCCCCACTGCTCCCGAGGGAGGACTGAGCTGCAGAGTCTCTCCCAAGCACGCTTCCCAGAGCCCCATGCTGCTATGGCATGGAGAGCTCTGCCTGTGCTCTGGGCATCTTGTGCAGAGGCAGGAGATGTAGCACGTCTTGAAAGCATCAGATGCGGAGCAGCTGCAGCCTGTTTTCTGTGTGCAGCACGTGCAGTTACATGGGACATGACTGCTCACAAAATCTCTCTTTAGGTTATAGTTAAGACCGTGCAGAAAGAGCACAATCGTTTCCTATATTCACTTGACTTCGTACATGAAGAGGGATACAAACCTTTAAGTTATGCATTTATTTAATTTCATCTAACTCATGTCAAGTACATCTGGGTTTTTTTAAGCTCATTCACACATCAGAGGATATGCCTAAAGCAGAATTTTTGTATATAGGTTGATTTTAACAATTTTACTGCTTCTTATTTGTAATGAACAAATTTCTGTACAGTGTTCTGTCTGCCTCCTGTCTACAACAGGAGTAAATGTATATTATGTCTGCTGACTTTAATCCTCGAGTCTTCACTTTGTTAATTTGCCTCATTAATTGGCTTCCCGTATGTGTGAGATGAGGAAGACAGATCGCATCAGATGTCTTTCCACTTGTCTTGTTCTAACTTTAGAAATTTTGGAAATTAGGACTGTGGTTAGTTTTACTAAAGCCAAAAATCCCTTTGGTTTATGTGGAATTTTGTTTCAATTTCTGTAGCTCTTGGAGCTGTTCCATCTGCCTTTGACTGTTACCTGTGCAATCGTGGTTTGAAGACACTGCAAGTCCGGATGAAACAACATTTCCACAACGCATTAGCTGTTGCTCGATTTCTTGAGTCAGATTCCCGGGTGGAGAAAGTAATTTTCCCAGGTAGGTTGGCAAGACTTCAGAGCAGGTGACATCTTAGAGTGAGGCTGGATTTGGGTACTGTAATACTACGTGTCGTTTGTGCACCCTTCATATTTAGTGACTCTGGCTTAGGTGTCCACCTTGGCAATGGGCTGTTTCTGCATAGCTGAGGGTGAGCTGCTTTACCCTTTGAAGTGATGGTAATTAACTTAAAGGAACTTCTACAAATTTCAGGCTTGCCTTCACACCCTCAGCATGAGTTGATCAAGCGGCAGTGTACTGGCTGTCCTGGGATGGTAACCTTTTACATTAAAGGAAATCTCGAACATGCTGCTACCTTTCTCAAGAATTTAAAGGTAAATGACGGTAAATACATACTATCTTAGAGGGACTTGAGCCTGTCCTTCTGAGGGTGATAATGGAAGGAAGTGGTTTTTCTTGAGGTGGGGAGTCTTTCTCTATACTTGCAAAGCTCCTAAAGCCTTTTGGGTGTAACCATCTCTAAATAACAGATTATTTGTAAATGGGAGGCTAATGAGAGGGAAGAAAAGGATGTCTCAGCTCATTTGAAGTATTTGTTTACACAGTAGGGTGTAATATGTCCAGGTTAGCCCAGGCATTGCTTCTAATAAAGGGCCTGTATACCAGCCTTTTGCAAAAATACCTGTAGTATTTGAAAGCAGAGAAGCTGTGGCTGGTGTAATACTGTTGTAATATTTCAGAGTACTCGTCAAGATGAAAACCTATTGAGAAATTACATGAGTCTTGAAGCAAAGAGGGAGTCCCTCAGTTGGAGAATAGCTGTTTGTTTGAGTTACCTAAACCATAGGCTTTTGCCTTTGTCTTTGCAATGTATTAATTCTGCCTGTGCTATTTAATGTGTTTGCTAGTCTTGATCTCTGGTTAGTTTGCATCCGGCTCTTGTGTTTTTGCTGTTCGTTCTTGGAAAAACAGATCAGTAATAATTGACAAAGGTAAATTAGAACTTCCTTCTCCTCTCTATCTTTCTTACTTGTCAGTTAATGTCATCAACTGAAAATGAAGTTACTAAAAATATGCTTTTCCCACAAAATATCCATTTACATGAGAGAGCATTTAATCCAGGCGCAGGAGATCTACCAGCTTTGACAAAAAGCATCAGAGAGTACATTCCAGAAGTAGTCCCTTATAAGTATATTCACTTCAGCCCTTTGACTTGGATAACCATCAGTTTGTCACTAGATTGGTACAAAAGTAAAGCCATTTCCTTAAACCAGGCTGAGAAGAGGATTCTTTGGTTGATAGGTTTAGTTGTTTTGTTTTTTTTTTTAAAGGGGAAAAAAGTCAATATGAGCAACCAGGGCTGGAGAGAAATGTTGAGGGCAGTAAGTGCATTCACAAAAGACAAATTGTGAATACATGTTTGAGTGCAGTTGGCTCTCTAGAAAGCCTTTTTGTCATCCAGGAATATATGTCCATAATTCAAAGAGCAGCTAAATAACAGTAAGCTTTTCACAAACACTGGTCCTGTTGGGCACTGAGAAATTTAGGCTGGTTTTCAAAATACTAAACTAACCATCAGACCCAAGCAATGAGTGAAAAGATCTATTCAGCCTTATGAGGAGAATCTTAAATGTTTGGGGTTTATCCCCATCAGGTCTGCTACTTGCCAGCCTGAAAAGCATAGGTGTTAAACGTGAACATTGATAAGTGATGCTGAAAGAAGAGTATGTGAGGATAGGATAAAACCACTTCAACCTTAACTGAAATTTTTGAGATCTGACTCTTACTTTGTTCAGGCAGCCTGCTCTAACCTTCCTCTGAACAGAATGAAGACGCTGGTGGTGCCCAGGCAGAACCTGCTCCCTCGTGTTGTGCATTTTCCCTTCTGCTCTTCCTCCATTGCTGCCCATGCATTCTAGAAACTACTCCCGAGTTATTTCAGTTTTGCATCAGCATCTCTTTAGAGCCTTTTTAGGATAAGTCTATTCTAAATCTTAATAGCTCTTACCTGCTAAATGTACACTTTTTTGGTAATTACAGCTAATACCTTTCATAATATAAAAGTTAATATAGAAAAACTTAGGGGGAAAAAAACCCCAACCACTAAACATTGCTTTTTCATTAACTGTCTCTTTCTAAGCATTCATAGGCTTACACTTCTTGCATTAACTTCTGTTTCATTTTTCCTGTAGGTTTTTGCGCTGGCTGAGAGTCTAGGAGGATATGAAAGCCTAGCAGAGCATCCGTAAGTCATTCTTCAACTTAAAAGTCTAAAAAAGCTGCAGAGTAACAAAAAAGTTTCTACTCTATTTTGATGGGAGTTCTAAAATTTTCTAGTACACAGAGCTAAGATATTTTGCATATAATTGAGATTCAAAAATGTTATGCTGTATAGCACAAAACCCAGTGGTTACTCCAGAAATGAGTGTGACTTTTGTGAATGTAAGAATGCAGTGATGAAAGAATTTCCACGCTTCCTTGTTTTAACTGGGAGACTGAGCTGCAATTTGTTGCTATGACAACGAATCCAAGAAATTAGCGTGTGTTTGAATATGTGGTACTGAGCAGATTTGGTCACACTGTTGAGGAAGGAGGTGTGCCATTCTGCCTGCTTACACAAGAGGGCGTGTTCAGTATGCTACACCGAATTGCATTTGTGTCCATGTCAGGTAAATTTTGTCGGGTTTTTAGTAAAGCTTAGTTGCCCCTGTCTAAATTAAAAGGCTAAAAATAGGACTTTTATGGAATTAGATTATTTTACATAAATCCATTTTGCTTTTCAAAAAGATACATGGAAAGTTATGACTAAACATATGCTAAATCATTTTAGTTGCTCATTTTAGAATAACAGCACATCTTGAAACACTCAAGCAGCTGAAAGGTAATTGCTAACTGGTGGATGTCAGTGACTGAGCATATGGGGGAAATAGCTTCTTACCTATATCCTCCGTAGCTGGAGAGAATAAACTCTTCAATGTAAGTGGTCCAATTTGATAAGTGATCTGAGAAAACAGAAGTTAAAAAAAAAACCTGGAGATTTTATACTGGAGATTGCATACTATAGCTGTTTCTCCACGTGCTTAAAGTAGAGCTTTTAAATACTATCTTTCAGAAAAAAAACCTAAAAAAAAATCTGGCAGGAAGAGGAATAGGATTTTTTTTCCTCCTTTTGCATTTCCCGATTAAGTATCCGCTTCTTATTCATCATTTGTAGCTTGGAAATACTATATTGAAACACTGGGATATACAAGTCATTGAGTTCTCCGGAGTTCGCATAATTTACAGTAGCTGATCTCTTTCCACCTGTGGGTTAACCAGCAAGTGGTGCACAAAAGGTGTGAAGTCTTTATGGTATTTCAGGAGATGCTGGCAGGAAACCAATTTGTTTGGTCTTTACCAATAAAAGTAAGCACTTCTTAGAAAAAAAGGCTATTTTTTTATCTCCAGGGCCATCATGACTCACTCTTCGGTGCCTAAAGAAGATAGAGAAGCTCTTGGAATCAGTGATACATTAGTTCGCCTGTCTGTTGGTTTGGAAGATGAAGAAGATTTACTGGAAGACCTAGACCAAGCTCTGAAAGCTGCAGTAAGTGGGTTATTACCTTAGTGCCATTGCTCTAAAAATAATTTCCTCTCTAGTCCTCTGCCTTCCTCACTAAACTGTCTGCTGGTAATTCTTACCTCACTTAATTTTTAAACTACTCATAAGCATACCTTGCAGAGTGTGTGTCGGGTTTTAAAACTTTCATTGTTAGGTTTTTCTTTCCAGCAAGGCTTACAGTCCTTGATAGTCACAATTTTGAATTCATGAGGATTCTTACAGCAGACGAGATGTCCCTGGCATCCAAGTGACAGGGATTGATGCCTATATGAGAGCCTCCCCTCAGACTCACTTCAGCAGCTAAGTGCTTAGTGTGTGCTTCCGATTTTTCGTGTTATAGTTTTAGAGAAGGTTGACATATATTAAGGACCTTCAAGAAAAGAGCTTCTACCAGACAGTAAGTCTAATATTTGAGTAACACTATTTCCTTTACACGCACTACTTCTACTCCTCTACCCACAATTCTGTATTTCAGACAATATATTAGAATTGTTCTTTACACGTGTTAATTAATGTAATGCTGTATTGGGTCTTTTCTTCTCAAGGCAGGTTTCCTAAAATACATGAGGTGTATATGCGTCTGTGTACGAGTATACACACATGCATATGTGCAGGGGAAAGGCTAGTTAAATGTGTATTGTGTTTTGGTCCTACACAGCTTTGTGCTATGCTTTGGATCAGCTAATGCTCTGACTGAAGGAATAATGGGGGGTTTTGCAAGCTTTTTTTTTTTTTTTTTAAACTGGAAAGGATTAGTCATAACTGACAAATGTGAAGTATGGGCACTTGACTTTGAACCGGTACATCAGTCTGATTGGATTCCCTTTGGCAGCTGCAGGCTTGCAGTTTGATGTACCAGTATTTCATTGCAGAATATGCTATGTCATACTGTACCTCGTATTTATCATGCTGTGACTTATCAAGGGCATTGCCAATGTCTTTGCTTTCTGCAATTGCAGATAACTTGTTAGGTGAGTTTCCCAGATAATCCTAGGAAGTAGATCATGTCATGTGAAAGGTCCTTTCTTTTTCCCAGAAGGAGGTCCCTGACCTTTGGGTATGCAGAAGAATTCCTCTTGATGTGAAATCTCATGGCAGCTTTAGATCGGAATGTGTGAGCAAGGCAGGTGAACCAGATGCCTTAAGCCTACCCAGGCACTCTGCCTCAACCTCTAATTTTGTCTGTTCTCCAGAGCTTCAATGGAAGACTAAAATCCCTTCAACCTTCATAAGCATAATTATGTGTTGGAGAGAGGAAGGAGAATGTCCTTTTGATCCTGGTGGGCAACAAACAGAGCCCAGCAAGCAAAGCACCAGCCAGTCCTTTCAAATGCTGTTGGAGATCTCAGGATATCCGTTGCTTAAGGATGCGTTCTAGATCTTTGGATCTTGTTGCAAGCTTAGTTTTTGTTTTCAGGAACTGCTGACTACTGTCACACAATCCCATCCACAAAATTTGTTATTCTGTGTCAGAATTTTAGGTTCCTTTCCCAAGTATCCTGTTTGCCTGATAAAGAACTTCACTCCTGGAAAGTCAAAAACTTTGATTTACAAAATCTAAACATACTTCTAACCTGTTTGTATCCACTTGATCACATGTTGCTCCCACACAGGCAAATGTAGGTATTAGACATGTTGCTACCAGGCAGTGAAAACATTTCATCATGGCCGCACGCTGTCTGCCACACTGTGGGGTGGGCAAGGGGGTCAAAGAGAAGGAGACAAACGAAGGATTGCAGCAAGGCACGTGCTTAAGAGGGGTTTCGGCAAGTATTGGAATAAAGTTTAATAAATAACCACACTAAAAAAGCACAAGTTCCCTTCTTCCCTTCTCCCAACTTGTACTTTCATACTGTAGGAGCACCATAACTCCCATGGTTTGCCTGTTTTCTTTGGGTGGGAGTTCTGCAGATTTGGTGACTATTGAGTAGTCCTTGCAACGCTGAGGACAGAGTTCACAGTCTTTGGTGGACCTTGAATTGGCTCCAAGTCAAAGGCCGAGGCAGAACTAGGTTCAGCACTACCTTGTTCTCCTCTGCCACCTCTGCATCCCTGCAGGCACCTGCATCACAAAAAAGAATTAAAACAATAAAGGTGTTTGAAATGCAGAGTTTTGTCTGTGTGAGAGAACATGGTAGGTAAAGTTGCTAGGTACATTGGTAGGTAAAGTATAAATTTGAGTCCTGCAGCAATTGTAGCAGATGTATAGTAGTCTGATGTACTGTACAGACAGGAAGTTTTGTCCCTATATTTTTCTGTCTCTCTCTTTTTTTTTTTTTCTTTTTTTTTTTTCTTTTTTGTTTTGTTTGGTGATAGGGAAAATTAGCAACAGTAACTGCATGTATATCTATATGCCAGCACAGAGCATGAAGATGATCTAATACTAAAATATATCTCATTTATGAAAAAAAATTATATCTCGTTTTTCCTTCTCTTTGCAGTTTGCAGACCATAAGGCTTGACGTTTAAAACCGGAACTTGGAATTCAATGCTGAAATGGCTAAAGAAGATGACACAGAAAGCCAAATTGCTAATTATTTTCCTTTTATTTGCCTCTGAGAATTGAAATCTGTTCAATCCAACGCTGGATTCCTGGGGAGCTGTCACTTTGTGCTGTTATGTTTATTCTGCAGATGTCTGGCTGTACATGGGCCATGCACTGTGGCACACAGCCTGTGCTCTCCTGTGGGTCCATTTCTGTTGTATTGTAATCCTTTGGCTTGGGATTTATGGAGTCAACACGTTGAGTTTGAGAGCAGCCATGATGCACATGCAGGAATATTATCCTGGTTCTCTCAGTGGAGAATAGTGTTTCTCATTTGTCACCCTAGTGCTGCAAGGATGTCAGGCCAAAAGGGTTGGTTTCTGTTAGTGCTCCTCAGGATGCACAATTAATTTTTCTCATATCTTCTAATCTGACAGTCCAACTTAAAAGCTGTTGATTTAACTTAATTTTTTTTTTTAATTAGGTTGGAAATGTAGTTAAATGCTTTTTCACCTGTTGATATTTTATGGAGCATTGAAAATGAAGCAAAATCGATACCTAGTAAAGAACAGTAACTTTCTAAAGAGGATTCTTTCCCTTTTAAAAAAAAATCATGTAATGTTGATTGTGGTAACGATTTGGTTTGTCTTTGGAATGGGAATCATTTTAATTAAAATATGCTTTGAATTTCCCTGACGTATTACTTGTTTTGATATTTGTGTATACTCCTTGCATTCAAAATCAGGTGATAAAATGACCCTGGATTTGTTTAGATTTTCCTATGGGAAAATGGTGTCATTGCTGCTTGCTTGGGGTAGGTGGTGGGTGGCTGCCTGAAGCGCCCTGCAAGGTGTCATCTCTGAGCAGACATCAGCCCTCCCGCCCACTTCCCCGTGGCTTATCTAAATACCTGTGCTGAAGAACCACAAAAGAGGCACAAGTACTACAGGTATTTGTTACAAGACTGACTATGCAGATCTTTCGTGGTAAAAACATTTAGCTTTCCCAAACTAAATGAAAAGTAGACTTTCTGGGGGTGTATGTCTTTTTTTGTTTGTTTGTTTCTTTCTCAGATTGAGAGCTGCCATGAAATACGAGTTTGGTGACTTTCATTCGCTAGCTGATTAAAAACTGCCTTAAATTATGGTACGGAACACGCTAACACATGTGCAAGTGAGACGAGGGGGCTGTAGCTGGCTGCCAGTTGCCATGAGCCCTGGTGGTACCCTGAGCAGGGATAACTGTTGTCTGCTGTTGCTGTAGGAGAATCGAGCCCTCAGGGTTCTGCACGGTCAAGGCAGAGGCTGAGCATGAGATGGAAATGAATGTATTTCATCTAGCCCTCAGAGTGGTTATTCTGAGTCATGCTTGGTCAGCCTGTCTGTAAGATCAGCGAAACATTGCAGGTAGCTTTTTATTAACTTCTACAGGATAAATGTTGTGACTGTACTGTCTGGATCTGTTTTTGACTCTAAGCATAAGCAGCACATCAGTGTCAATTTCTGTGGAAAGACTTCAGCAAATAAGGTTTTGCTGATGCAATTATGAGTACAACTTTAAAAACCTCGACAAGCTCCAGATTACCTGCGTTGGCATTTGTGCAGGCGCGTGGCGCATCACTGAGGCTGGCGGCTGAGTGGGAAGGTGGGAAGGGGCTATGGCGGGGGAGATCCACCAGCAGACAGATCAGATGGGTCAGAGAGCAGCGGCGGATGCCAGCTGTGGTGCGGGCAGTGCGTTGAGATCCTAGGGCCTGGTTTTGGGATGATAAAACAGGTCAGAAGTGGTGGGGCTGTGCTCTGCACAGCAGCGATAGTGGTGCGGGCGTGCTGCACCAGTGTTGCAGCGCATCGGTCCGCTCTCCCTGAGAGGGGAACCAGCCCACAAGGTGCCGGTGCACGTCTGCTTGCAGATGACCGCAGAGCCCTGCCAGCGTTGCATGGCCCAGCACAACATCTGAGCTCAGGCAGTGCTTCTAATAGGTAAAGACTTCTATTTGTTGTAATTAAAGTTAAGACTGTGCTTTCTATAGTGGATCAATACAGCATTGTACGGAGTACAAAGATAGTCCTATCAACCTGTCTAGGCACTGTGCCTTCTGAGCAGCAAACAATTATGTATATCAACACACAAACAGAATAGTCTTGATTATCTAGAATGATTAAACCCTGGGAAAACTGAGATGAAGGTATGTATACCAAACACCTCATTTACTTACCTGCATTGCAGAGTATATCATAAAAGCATGTGCAAAATGAGTAAGATGCTGTAGGGGATGTAGGCTTGTAGGTGGTATGAAAATGAGCTCTTGTTATTTTTTGAGAAGCTGACAACTGGTGATGAAGAGTCTCAAAGGCATCATGGTTGTATTGTGTGAGCTAGTAACTCTCCCTGCTTTAGTGAAAACTCTTCCATGTTAATCTCTCCCTTAAATTTTCATGTTTGTGGTTACAACAGTTTTTGACTAAATATCTGATTTAATTTCTATGTTCCCAGTCTG